AATATTTTCTTATTTATATATTATAGTTAATTAAGAAAGATAGTAATTAATGTTATGATAGTAATTAATGTTATTTCATTATTTAGTCATTAAAAATGACTTAAAAATGACGATTAAATGACAATATATTTATGGCGATAATATTTCGTGACAAATGTTACGTTTATTTTACGTCGTTTTTTAATACACTGACGTCGAATGACAAAAAATGACCTTAAATCATCGTCATAATGACATCATCTTGCTACTTGAGATATCTTCACCAGTATATTCCAAGATGTCTCCAATATATTCGCATTATATCTGAAGTATATCTGGGATATTTTGAGTAAATTCAGTATTATCTCAGTAATTCAATATATATAGCAAAGTTTATTTATTATAGTCTATTATATCTGAGTATATCCTGAAAATATACAACAAATGATATTCTACACAGATTTTATACGAATAATCTTAGTATTTGATATGATCACAGTACGTTTAGTATAAATACAGAATATTTGTATGATATCACGTGCTGTTAGGAACTGTATCTTAATACTTTTATGCATACAATAAAAAGACATTGATGTTATGGACAGCTAAAAAAAATATGTATTTACATTTTATCTATTGCATAATTCTTTTTTAAAGCAATTATGTATCTTCCTAACTAATTGGTTTGTCTCATTATTTTAAGCATAAAAATATTAAGGTATAAAGTTATATAGGTATAAAAATATTAAGATATACAGTTATAAAAAAAAAGAAATAGTTTGTATGTTTTGAAATGTTTTATATTGTACATCAGAATATGTGAAACTAAAATATAAAATATCTTATAAACTATTGATTTTTCGACATTTGTATTTTAGTATTTTTATATTCAGAATAACAAGAGGCATTATATTACATATAACAAAAATATATATTTCCATTTAAAAAATGAAATTAATTCTGAAATTTTTTAAATAGAATTTAAATTTTCAAAATTATTATAAATTTTTATAATTTTTATAATTTAAAATTTTATAAATCTTCATTTATAAAAAAAACTTGTACTCTATGTAATGACCCCCTCGAAGTCATACGACTTTTATATATAACAATTTTTTATATAATTTACAAGTTTTTAGAAGTCTGTAAGTTAGCTGCCTCATCTTATTTACAAGGTGTTTCATTTTAAATGATATAGTCGATTATCTCGCGAATCGATGATTTTATTGAAAAATTTTTCAAAAGTTGCATGACTTGAAGGGGGACACATGATGGAAATATGGACTTGACTTTGAATGACCTCATCAAAATCAGGTCAAGTCATTAATGTTTTTTTAAATGGAAACCCTTATTTTTTATTACATATTCTTGTAGCTTATCTCGAGAGCTTTCCAAATTGCTTTTTCTTTTGGATGTCTTCTCGGGTGAAGAGAACGATTAAAGTGGCTTTACGTCGGACCGTCCAATGATGTATTTGATAACAGATTAGATTCACGTAATAAATCCGTTTCA